CCATCCGTATGCCTTCTGTGGAGATTCTGTAACCCAAATAGTCCACTTGGTGCAGATCAAATGCGCATTTTTCTAGTTTAGCAAAGATCTTGTTGTGTAATTTTTGCAATACATTTCTGACATAATTTACAGGCAAAGAGGAACCTCAGAATAAACTAATATGTCATCTAAGTAAACTACTACATATTTATCTAAAATGTCTGCAAATATTTGGTTCATGAAAAACAGCTCCACAGTTAACCAGTCTGAAAGGTATCATTGTGTATTCAAACTTTCCATACCTTGTATCAAAGGCTGTTAAATGCTCATGCCCTTATTTCATTCTGATTAGGTTGTAAGCACTTCTCATGTCTAGTTTGCTAAAGATGTGTGCCTGGCGCAATATGGTTCATGGGGTCACGAAGAGTCGGACACGACTTAACGACTGAACAACAACAACAAAAAAGTGGGAGTAGATAATGGTCTCTAATAGTCACACTGTTCAGGTCTTTGTAATCATTAATGGTATGTATATGGGCTCCCTACTTTCCCTTCAGAGTGGCTGCTGCTTCTCCATCTTGTTTTTTGGGTACAAAAACATGGGTGCCAATGCTGGTGAACTGGAAGGGGGAATAAATCCTTTTTTGATGTTAACATCCAGATATACATTGACAATAGCTAACTCACAGGTAGACATGGGATACTGTCTCTTTGCAGGGATTTGGGTCCCTGGCTTCAAAATTATGGTGCAATCACATGCCCAGTGTGGGGATAACACGGATGCCTCTTCCTCTCTGAACACATTTGTGTAGTTGCATATTTTTCTAGCAGCACTGATCCTCCCTTGTTCTGCAATGGACTAGGAAGGGTAAGCTTTCGATGCTTGTAAGCAATGTTGCTGGCATTTAGGGGAGGGAAATGAGAGTGTCCCTTGCTTCCAACTTATAACTGGGACAGGCAGCTGAAGCCATTCTATGCCCAAGGTATGGGCACTTGCAAGGAGGCAGTTACACCAAGTGTTATGAACTCTGTGTAATCTTTGATTGTCAATTGCAAAGGAACTGTGCACTGCAGAATTGGTCCTGGCTTTAGTGGCTGACCGTCGATAGTCTGATACCAGCTGAGGCACCTCCTGGAAGATAGGTGTTGGCAGCAGAAATTACTACTCTTTTGTTTTAAAAATCTTACTGAGCCCTAGCACTCTAGACTTGGATATCTAGGAAATGAAGACAGTTACCTGGAGCTTTGCTCTGTAGTGGCATATTCATTCTGTGACAAGTATAAAAAGACTTTTAAGAAATTAAAAAAGCAATATTGCAGTAACTGCTTTGAAGGGCCCCTGAGCTACAGGCCTCTGCTGGTCAGGCCAGGCCTAGGTACACAACTGCACATTTCCTTCCTACCTAAGCAGTATTGTTTTTCCTGGCTAGGCAATGTCTGCACACAGCCTTAATCTACACCCACAGGGCTCTTTCATGCACATAAACTGTTCCAGCTTGTGAAAAAGCCATAGGGAAACTACTCCCACACCACTGCTTGTAAGTGAAAGATCAGCACTGAAGGATAGGCTGTGTTTTGGCAAACACTGATAATGCTGATGGATATCAGAAAAGCAACATATGCTAGCTCTGGCACCACAATGACTAGTCATTTGAATGCTCTGGCATCCCACAACTTCTTTGCAAGATCATAGGTTCACTACTTCCCAGTCCAACTTAACATTCTATACTTTTCCAAGAGATAGCATTACTTGTACCTCACTTTTCAACCCCACGCTCAATAAAATACAGCAAAACACAACATAGCAGCATCACACTAAAACTGACTGCAACAAAGATAGTCCTTGGGTCACTGCCATTCATTTAGCGACTGTTTGAAGTTACGATGGGGTTGAAAAAATGGACTTATGACTCACTGGTCCTTGCACTTACAACCATCGCAGCATCCCTGCGGACATGTGATCAAAATTCGGGCATATGGCAACTAGCCCGCATTTACCACCATCACAGCATCCCATGGTCACATTCTCCTGCCCTGAGTGAAATGACTCTCCTTCAACTCCTGCCACCTGCCTATCTCTCACCCCATCTCTGCCCTTTTAGCCACCCTGCATGCACAGCATGACCATGATGACAATGCCACTGCATTCCGCCACCCCTGGCCGCCACCCCCAGCTGAACTTTGCTATATTCTTTGCCTCTCCTCCCCTCTGCTGGATTCACCAACACCAGCCAGCTTTAAGACCCACAGCGTGGGGGCTCTGTTGGCACTGGGCTCAGAGGCAGTGGCGAGGGGTGGGAAGGCAGTGGCAACAGAATAGAGCAGCATCTTCATCTCATCCATGCTGGGCAGGGTGGCTAAAAGGGCAAAGATGAGCCCAGCACCAACAGATTCCCCACACCATGGGGCTTGAGGCCAGCTGGCATTGGCGAGCCCAGCGGAGGGGAGGGGAGGCGAAGAAGATGACAAAGGTCAGCTGGGGACAGTGGCTGGGGGCAGCAGAATACAGCGGCATCATCATCTTGGCCATGCTGTACAGGGCAGCCAAAAGGGCAGAGATGGGAAGGAGATAGGCGGTCAGGGGGAGTTGAAGCAGAGGTAGTTTGTGCAGGGCAGGAGAAGCGAGCTGGCCTCTTCTGGCTCAGTGATCCCCTGAAAACATCCCTTGCTTTGGAAGAACCAAGGCTTGGGGCTGGGAGAGACCAAGCCGGGAATGGCTTGGATTGGGGTGGGAGCTTTCAAGAGATGGGAGACGTGATTGCCATTTGCAACCTTCCCAGCCAACTTCTAATAAGTAAAGTCAATGGGGGAGTTGGCAGGAGGTTGCAAGCTGTGGTCATGTGAGATCCTCGCCTAACAACCACAACTGGGACTGCCAGAACTGCCATCGCTAAGCAGCATGGTCACACGATGTTTCGCTTAACTGCTTCACTTAGCGGTGGAAATTCTGATTAGGTCCCAATTAGGTGTCATAACCCGAGGACTACCTGTAAATTCATGCAGTAGATGTTATAACTAATAACACCATTCTGGAAATATCCAGCTAAATAAAATTATCTTTATAGTGCATTGAAAAGCAAGTAATGATGGTGACAGGTGCACTAAGCTTAGGCAGTCATTCCAATTACTGGGCCCTCTCATTGAGGAAGTCCTTTCCAATGTACTCTGGCAGCTGCATTTTGATCAAACTGAAGCTTGCAAACAGTCTGCAAAATGTAGAGAGAACATACAGTATAACCACAGTCTAGGCTGAGAATTAAAAGAGAATGAATGACTGAGGTCAAGCCAGGTCTATCCACAAAAGGATTTAGCTGGAAGAAGACTACTCCTGCTACCTAGCCATGCAGTAAATTATCCAGATCTGGGGATATCTCCTAGTACAACCCTGCTATTTCAAAGAGACTGCAAATCCTAATAGGCTGCAATCTTGTCAATTTCCTCTATGTCTTTCATCTTATCCAAAATCACTTCAGCTGACCACAAACAGGGAAATTCTTTTCTGGCTCATGAATGCATCAAAATGATTATTACTTATTTAATTCATATGCCATACTTAGATATATATAAAATTCAGATTCTCAGATGCATCAAAAAAAGCAAACTTGAAACTCAATGAAGTAACTAATATACAAATAGAATAAAAGAAAATCCTGAAAAAAAACTACCACTGATCTAGTGTGATCAGCTTACACAATAACTTGAGAGTGATCTTCAAGAGTTGAACTGCATTTACTTATGAGTGCAAAAAAATCTAGTTCAGCTATACTTATTTTACATACAGGAAGAGTTTTATGCCTGCCTTCCCTTCCAAGAACTAGATGCACCACACAGAATCTATATATGTACATATACACACTTACAGAAATATATGTGCATGACAAATACTTGAAAAATAAAATTTTCACCCTGAAATTTTTGGGTGGATCATGACTACTGTCCAAATTTTTTTTAAAAAAGGAATGTACTTTTATTATAATAATGCAGAGGTATACAATGACATAAAAATATAACTGTACTGCGCACACTACACAAACATATTATGTTAACTTACTCTGAAATAATCACTGCATGCTGCTAGCACAGCCTTGTGAGCATGGAATTTCTGCTCTTCAGCAATCAGGGTTATATCACAGAGTATTCCATCATTTCTTTGTTGGTTCAGAGCTGCTAGGACAGCATCATTATGAGAACTGGACTGGCAAAGTCTCTGACCCGTCAGCATATCTTGAATACTGCAAAAGGGGAAGCAGTAATTATGTCCAGGAGAGTCAAAATACAGCCTATGAAGTATACCTATATGCTTTGAATTATCTGATGTTTAATTACCACATCTGTAATATACTTCTGTATGTATCTGTACAATATTTCTTTCAAGGAAAAAAGTGCCTGAGAATTCAATTCTCCTATAAAGTAAGTTTGCACAGGAATTCATTATTATTATTTCTGACAATTAAAAATAAGTGTTTTTAACTTTTCCCCACTTGTTCACAGAATCAACAGATTTGCAACATTATAATCTGGCAGAGATATTACCATAATTCATTAGGTCAAAATAAATCTCATTCTTCCATACCAAATAATGCTGTTCTAAACATCCACGATGGGCCCATACATAAATTATCATTCCACACACTCAAGTCACTGAACTATAATTCTTGTGTTGCAGCAATTTATAAGTCTCAGGAAATGTACAATCAACAGCATGTTTCTGAGTAATTTTCTCCAATTTCCCTGAATATGAGTAATTAAATTGTCATTGCCACTAGAAATGGTAATATATACCAATCCCTTCAACAATGTTTAACTTTATATAATGCACTTTTTGAGAGGGCAAAGTGGCAGAAAGTACTGATATCTCTTACTAAATATAGCACCAGTTTCTTCAGATAATTTGTTATGTATCACTACCAGTTCCTGTCAGCACCTTTGCTGAAAAAAAATAAACACAAGCTAGAAAAAACTTCTTAACAAATCACAAAGAATACTGAGCTACAGAATAAAGTGACAGTAATACTAGAAGTGCATTTTGCATTTCTCTGGGCTTGCCATTTCTACTCTGATGCTCTTCGGACATGTTAGGTCTGCATCTATATTTCCCAGAATTCCCAAGCACTGTAGCCCTTAGGAATACTGGCTGGGATTCTGTAGCAGGAAAGCCATGTTAGTCTATGGAAGCAAAAAATCAGGAAGGGTTTGGTGACATCTTTCCAACTAAAAAAAATTCATTAAAAGGCATGAGCTTTTGTGAACTGCAGCTCTGATAAAATGAGATAAAGCTCACAAAAACGTACACCTTTAAATAAAAAGTGTTAGTGTTAATTCAGCTGGGTGCCTGGGCTTGAAGTCACAACACATCTGAAGGAAGAAAATCAGGGAAGACCACTCTAAACCAAAACTAATTTTGGAATGTGTTTTTAAATGAAGCTGCTCTTTTGCCTTCTGACCTATGTTAACACATGCACCCAATGCAATTAATCATCTTATAGGCTTAAGCAAAACAGTAATAATAATTTATTAAATCTATATGCTTAAAATTTCCTGAAAGTTTAAATCTAAGCCGATTTCTATGCTAAATCATTTGTTCTTAGGGTTTTGCACAAAGTATTTAGACCTAAGGAGGGGCAGGATTCAAAGTTCACATCTCTGTCTTTTACAAAGCATAATTAGAATCACATATGTAATAAGTAAACCACACAAATAGCCCAATTAGCCAGGAAAAATTATTTCCTGCAGTGTTATGATTTATTTCCATTGCTATAAAAATATTGTTTTAAGTGAATCAAATTTGGAGGAGGGAAAAATCTTATTGCTCTTTCTACTTTAGCTTATACATGTTTTTAAAAAGTTAATTTTGAGGACTGATCTATGAGGATCAACACAATGCTGTTCTCTTCATTTTTCTTTCTCTCTCCAGGATCTACAAGATCCTATTTTTGGCTGGAATGCACAACATGTAAATGAGCTGACAAAACCATGGAAAGAGCAAACATGCTTTGCGTCAAGGTTTTCTATGGGGAACGTTATCATGAAAATTCAAGGGAGCCTATCACATTACAAAAACAAATCTTTGTCTATAGGATAATTTTGATGGAGTATGTATGCGTGGAGGTGGTAGTATTATTATCCTCTAGGTTAACATTCAGTAGCATGAACACATACATACAAAATGAAAATGGGCTGAGGCGGATACTGTGAACTATACCTGAGGCACACTTCAGATGGCATTCTTCAGCTTTACCGGTTGAAATCCCTTGTTTCTTAATAACTTACAGAAAATGCACTACACATTCCAACTGGAAAGAAAGAAAGAAAACTAGGGTTAGAATTAAAATGACTTTCTGTTTCCTTCCTAGGGAATATTGCAACCACTACAAAAAAATAATTAAGCTAAAATTTTATGGCCTATAGTTAATGCCAATATCCATACCCGACAGGAGATATTACCTGGCAATATTCGGTATCGAGTTACAGGTATGCTTTTTGAAACTACAAATTGAATATAAAAATTGGATGTAGAAAGTAGTCTTATTTTCCAGTTGTCATACAGGGGTCCAGTAGCATGCTAAAAAGAATATGTTTTTGCAAGACTGAGCCCTGGAATCTATGAGCTGTTTTCTTCTCTTTAATTAAAATCTAAAAATCAAAATCAATTCAGCATAGTATAAATATTTTGAGCCATATCTTGAATGCATCTTTTCTGCTGAAATTGCCACAAACTACTTCAGACAATACATCCTTGATTTCTTCTAGTTGCTATAAAACATCTGGGGCATAAAAAGTTATGATGCTTATACTACAACATTCAACTTCAGGAGTGCTTCATTAAGAATATCCTACACAACAACAGATAAAAAAAATGCAGAAAACAAAGAAGTTCAGCATTGCTGCTTTCCTTCCCACACCAAAAAAACAGACTCTGGATTTTTGTCAACTCGACCCCCATTCCAGTTCATCTCGAATCTCCTGTCCCTTCAGCATGAACAGTTCAAGCAGCAGTGAAAACATAATTAAAGAGGTTTTTCATTGATTGATGCTTCTATCCTATCTGCCAAGACAACAAGAATGGGAAACAGAACCAGAGCAGGATGATGCGAGTTTACCACTAATTGTTCCCCCATGACTCTTACTAATCAAAGTACATCTGCACATGTTATTTTGAAGGTTCACTTCATGTGAAGGTAATACAACCTTATTTTGCACATTCCAGAACACAGATCTTTCCACATCAGTGTATTATGAAAACATCAACTCTGGAAATTACATGCCCAGATTCAAGGCAGAATTTCAGAGTTATTTATTACACAGTAAACCCTTCAAAATCCACCCTCTGTCTAAACTAGTTGCATCCCCTTTCCTCATGATGAACACAATGTATATCACATCCTATTTTGCTAGCTCTATGAGTAATTATAGGCATGCAGGAAACCTTGGTACAAAACCTTGATACAAACACACATATGGTCCGGAACAAAATCACATTGTTATAAATGCAAAAGGTACATTACAAGATAAAGAATTGCCTTCAATTTTTCTAGTACAACTCTTCATCAGAGCAAATTTACATATTTTATTAATTTTCATTTTTAATGTTAATCTTTGAGCTCTCATATAGATGTGGCCCAATATTTTTGGTGGGTTTGCAAGGCCTCAAAGAAAGTATTTCATGTTAATAGCTTAATATGTAAGAATGTTTTAGATTTTCCAAGGAAATCACAATATTTGTAAAGGACATAAGGCTCAAACTCTATAGAAATCAAACAATCTGGGGATAAGCAGACATCAGCTAACAGCACCTGACTGAACTTGTCTGGGCTTAGAAGCTAAGCAGGGTCATACCTGGTAACTGCCAGGTTACACCAGGCCAGTATAGGCTAATTGAGAAGTCTAAAAACATTCCTAAAGGAGGTAATGGTACACACAGTCTAAACCAAGAAGACTATGTGAATGCTTACATGAAGTATTCACCAGCTGGACTGAAAGAAACTTTATCTTAAAGCTCAGGTCATTATATGATAAAGAGGCTCAGCAGCTAATGTAGCTGTCTTCAAAAACAATTAATCTGAAGTAAATGCTACTTTTATTGAAATTTATTTTAGATATATCTGAGGGATGATGTACAAATTCAGTACAAGATGATAAATAATTTCAGAAGGCAAATTATATTATTGATTTCATAGGGCAGTATTCAAAATGTGTATCCACCTTCAAGAGTGCAATTTATGCTACTCCATTTATCTGTAATTTCTTACTACATGTGTAGATCCCTCCCTGATTGGAGTTGGCAAAGAAGACAGCAATGCTGCTATTAAAGACTCGCTGCAAAAAAGGACATCATCCACTTTCCATGTAATCCCTGGCTTCTCCAGATAGGGCTAGAAAAATTCCTGCTAGAAACTCTGGAAAATCTCTTCAAATCAGCAAAGACAGCATTAAGCTAAATGGATCAGTGGAGTAACTTGGTAGAGTAGAAAGAAGCTTGTATGACTTTGACTTTTTTTCTCCACAGAATGAGTTGCCTGGAAATATGGCTAATCTGTCCATTTATACAATAATCTTCTGGTCATCATGATCCATCAGTTTAGTTTTTATTAGTCAGAATACTCTAATAAAATATGCTGTAAAACAGAGACCATCCATCTCTCTGAAAAACAGCTTTTTGCCCTACATGCTGGCTTTTTAAAAACCTGGACATTCTCAGAGGTAATATTTTCAGGGTTATACTCTCCTGTTTACCATCGGTAGCATCAGTAGAACCAGCAATTATTGTCTAATAAATGCAGATATTGCTGAGTAGGAAATTTGATTCCAGCTGCTTTGATCTTTTGCACAGCAGTGAGCAACAATGACTTGGAAAGGGGATGCTGACTTGAAAAGCACATTCCACTCCAGGAAGAACATTATGACCAGATTAAAGCTACAATTCTATAAAATTACAGCAGAACCCATGAAGCAATACATAACAATTCCAGAGTTTCAAAACCATTTAAAGATACAGTGAAGTAGATGTGTTAAGATTATGAAAATATTTCTATTATTTGAGAGAGAGAGAGAGAGAGAGAGAGAGAAGCAAAGCAAAGCAAAGCAAAGCAAAGCAAAAGCAAGCATAATGCTAAAATCATTGGT